CCTTCCTTTTTCTTTCTTTCCTTCTTTTTCCAAACTTGACTTCTATGTGCAGCCTATTCTTCCTTGTGTACAATTCTTTGTAAGGAAAACCCATTGTGTTCATAAGAGGATTTACTTTGAAGTGTGCAGAGAGGTTTGCTACCTTAGTCCCAATTCAGAGGTAGCATGATGGCACCATGGTTTCTTATTAAGATGGTTCTTAGCTCACTTGCTTCCCCTTTTGCCTCTCCCTCCTTCATGCCTGCAGCAAGGAGATCAGAAATGCCCACTTGTGGGTGTAAGCTCAACACTGCTATTTGGTCCCATGTGGTCTAATTGGGCCCATGGACATTCGTTATTCATCCTGTAGTGTTCAAGCCTTGTAGTTCAGAACTGGGAAGAGGAAAGCCAAAAGGGGGATATCTGATTGTTGTCATACAAACAACTTATTTTCCAAACTCTGAGATTCTTCTGATCTTATTTCCAATCACTCACCAGAGATTCCCCTCCTGGTTTTCCTCCTCTCTTTTCTGGAAGGGAAGAGGAGGAGCAAAGCCAGTTACATGCCTTGGACTGTGCTTTGAATCTGGGATAAAGTTGATGCAGTGCCCAAGTGTTGGTCCAAAAACCCCCCAAATCTGCAGCCCTGAATATTATGCTGAACATTATTCTGAAGTGTTGCGCTCTTAATGATGGCTAAGCAGAATTCCCCATTGGAATTACTAGTGCTATAATGAAAGAAGGAGGGAGGGTTTGATTTTTTTTCTATTCCTGTTGTAAAAAAAGCAGTATATGTAACTCTATTTGAATAATTTGCAAGGCAGAAGTGGGGAGGAATAAATATGTGCATCATTTACCCAGAAGAGGAGTAAATCTGCATTTTGAGAAATATCTAAATGAGGCAAACAATGATTAAGAAACGAAGGTATGGTCATAATTCCAGTAACAATAATGTGTCATCATCATACAGTTCTGATAAGTGACCCATTTGAATGATGTTCTTCCTGCATAATTAGAATTGCGGAGAATTCAATTGCAAAGGACAGACTGCAGTGCTTTAAGAAGGCTCCAAGAATCCCTGAGATATCAGGTTTCATGCATACTCAAATCAGGGTATTAGTTTTGTTCTTAGAATTTTAACAACCTAAAATATAAAGGGTGTGCTATTTGTAAGTAACACATATATAGAAATATTTCTCCACATTATCTTGCTTCATGTCAAATGACCATGATTTCTCTTATCTTCGCTTGCACTAATACAGTATATCAAAAGAGCTTGAAATTTTTTTTTTGTACTACAACTCCCTGAATCCCCTTGCAAACTCTGACATAGTGTACTGGCTGGTAGATCATGGCAACTGTATCATACCTTTCCAAATTAAGATTCTTGATCCCATAGCCATTTTGGCTCTTTTTCCAATTTCTCTTCATCCACACAATGTGGAACCTTTGGTCCTCCAGATGCTTTGGACTACATTTCTCATAGTCCCTTGCTCTTGCCTAAATGAGGATGATGGAACTTGTAGACAATAAGATTAGGAAGAACAACACTTCCCCAGTTCTCCCTGACACCTAGCTGCTTTCTGCTCCTTTTCTCTTTGACATTCATTCATCTTCTCACACACATTGTCTGCTGGGGCATCAAATGAAAGCATTAAACAGTCAGTCTGAGAGGAAGCAAGAGTGACTGCTGGGATAAAGAGTACATCACTATGGAAACAAACTCTTCCTTCCCTTCTTTATGAATTTGGATGGAGGGAGGGAGGGATCAACTGTTCTTCCTCAGTCTGATAGCTCGATTTCCAAGCCACTCTCTTGCTCCCAAGTCCATATGATTTTGATTGTGTGCTTCTCAATGTCACTTATTAATCGCCCATCATCACAACAGAAAGCGGACAATGTTTTAGGGCTCTCCTGACTGTTTTTCATAAAGGCTCACATGCATCATATTAACTTTGTGGTATTATTTCCTGACCAAAATGGGTTGAGATAATAGATTATATTTTATTGCCTTCCCTACTTCTGGAATTTCTTTTTATTACTCTTCATTTTGCTTCCAGTGCATATTTTAGGGAAGTTATTAAAGATACCTCCCTCTGGTTATGTGCATAATCTATTATCTGGAGCTGATGAAATCCTCCTGCATTTGTGTTTTTGTAACAGTAAGGCAGAGTAAATGCTTAAGCATTATTAGCTCATTTTTTGTTGATATACTGTATATATGTATTGGGGATGGGGGTGGAGAAGAAAAATAAAGGAAGGCAGAGAGGCATTATAAATGAGATCATCATATTTTTCTATTGCTGGGTGGATGCTTGCTATAACTCTCCAGTGAGCAATGTGCTAGAAATTTCATTTTCACCTTCTTGCAATGGTGCAGTTGTGGGGAAAAACAATTGACAACAATGAAGCATGTAGACATACAGATAGGCTACATTTTCATCTTTTCTAAATTGGTTTGTGATTTGGCTTTATAGACATATTCTAGTCCTAATGGTTCATCATCCCATTTGACTGAAATAGGAGGAGAAATAATCCAGCTCTTTGGAGGGAACCATGAGAAAAAAATTTAATAACAGGGAAATTGCACTGTCATTGTATTTATGTGGTTCTGGATTTGATTAGGGAAATATTGTGGAATACTATACATGTTTATTCAGAAAGCTATTCCCCATATGCTCAGTGGGACATACTCCAAGGTAAGTGTTCACCAAATTGGGTTTGTGACACAATGGTATCTCCATCTTTGTTTCTCCTAATCTTTTTGCTGATTCTTCAGCACCTTTAATAATAATTTTATCCCCTCAAATTGGGTAAACCCCACTGAACTCAGTGGGGATTACCTTGGATTAGACATAGCATTATTAGCAATCCTGCTCTCAAAAAGCTTGCTGTGACTTTTTGATGCTTTGGATCTGCTTTCAAATCAAGCATCTTTTGGGTTGCTGTGTTGTGTTGTGTTTTTCAAGGCATTCCTGAGACAGTAGGGTCAGAACAGAGGGACAGAACAGAAATCAGACTGAAATAAGGTAGAACAGCACTCTGTGACTTTATATTTTTGACAGTTTCAACCATTATGTTTAACATAACACTTTCAAATAAAATAAAAGGAGATTCTGAAGAAATGATACATTCACTCTGTTAAAACAATAATGTAAATGCTTAGTTGCTATTCCTCGTAATGGTGGCTCCTTCTGGACAGCAGAGGAGGTTACCATGTTCAAGGTGGCAGCCATTCTGAATTTCCAAACATCCGAAAAGCATCTCAGAACAGGGATTGATAGAGGGCAGTAGCTGACCATTTTCAGGTGTTCATGGAAGAAATGGAAAATCTGAATCCATTTCAGTCAGGGTTTAGGCTGTGGCATGCTATTGAAACAGTATATTTAGTGTTGCTTTGACATATATTGCCCCTTCGCGCTTAGAGCACTTTCTGGATGGTTTTTGACATAATTATGCAAACAATACTTTGCTCCCCAGCAAGTTGTGGGTACTCATTTTACTGCTCTAGATAGTCAGCCTTGAGCTGGCTACCTGAACCTGTCAGGATCAAACTCAGATAATGAGCAGACTGCCGAAAGTATTGGTTGACCTGCAAGATGACCTCCCAAGGAAGGCAAACAAGGAGAGTGTAGCTCTGCTGCTCCTCTTGGATCTTTCTGTGGTCTTTGCTACTGTCAACTAGGCACTGTATCCTTCTGTGATGGCCATTGAGCGGAGGGATTGGAGGTTTCTTACTTTTGTGGTTTCAGATCTTTCTTGATGGCTGATCCCAAATGATACAGCTTGTGTGTGTGTTTAGTCGTTTAGTCGTGTCCGACT